TCAGCCTTCGCGCGTCCGCCACCGGTTTTCAAGCTCCTCAACGTGCTCCGCAGCCTCAGCCTTCGCGGCGACCGCCACCGGTTTTACAAGCTCCTCAACGTGCTCCGCAGCCTCAGCCTTCGCGGCGTCCGCCACCGGTTTTACAAGCTCCTCAACGTGCTCCGCAGCCTCAGCCTTCGCGGCGTCCGCCACCGGTTTTTCCAGCTCCTCAACGTGCTCCGCAGCCTCGGCCTCAGCCTCAGCCTTCGCGGCGACCGCCACCGGCTTTACAAGCTCCTCAACGTGCTCTGCTGTCTCGGCCTTCGCGGCGGAGGTGACGGCTTGTTCGGTTTCTTGGGTGTTTGTTGCCTCAAATGTGAGGGAGGTTTCCTCTTCTTTTGTGTTAGCCTCCTGGGCCAGTGTACTTTCTTTTATGCCTATTACACTGCGCATTTGTTCGATGATGTAAATCCTATCTTCGAGTTCTAACCGCTGCATCCTTTGCCTTACGACTGTTTCATCATCGGTTACACCGACAATTATTTTCTCGTCGTAAAATGCCTCGCAGAGCTGTCGGAAGGCCAATCTTTCATCCATTTTCTGCGCCAGATAACTGTAGTAGTGCTGCGACTCGAGTGAATTGCGCTCTTCCACATTTCGCTGAAATTGAAGGTCAACTAGTCGATGACGTTCTGCAAGTCGCATTTCTCGCAGGAGACGCTGCTGCAGTTCATCCCGCTCCTTCCATTGTTTGTGCAGAGCCTCACGCCTGGCAGTGCCCAGCACATCGGTTGCCGCCTCAGACAGTGTCATCTTTTCCAATTCGGGGATGAGGGAATCTAGCATCCGCGAGATGCGGCGCACAGCGCGGTCTTGCTCCGCCTGCTGACGCGCTCTTATGCGCTCCTCCACTTTCTCGTCTAGGAGAGCCTGTTCCTGGGTGTGCTCGTAGTTGGTGATCACTTCCTGTAGGCGGGAGGCACGCCATAGGCGCATGCGCTCGTTTATGCTCGCAATTTCCTCTTCAACCGAAGGAGTGTCGTTAACCACGTGTCGTTGACTAAACAATACCGAGTTGAGCACTGGGCGTCCTGCATCGGGCAACGATTCGCAGACTCCGGTGTAGAAGTTCATGTCGTGCATTGCATCACTCAATAAAAGCCCCTTTGAAGCATCCTCCGCGGCTGCAGCACCTGGATAAATGGAAGGTCCCATGGGCTTCCGTACAAGGGACATAGAGAAGTAATCTGGCTTGGTGGGCCTTGCCGTAGTAGGCCTTGCCGGACGCAATGGTTGCTGCGCATGTTCCACTGCTCCTCCCACCGGTGCTGTCGCGGAAAACATGCACTGTTGTTGATATTACTGTTCGTCAGTACCCGATACTGTTGTTGTTGTTGTTGTTTTCTTACCCTTTTGCTTCAGTTGGTGCCTCTTCCTTCCGCTTTCGCTCTTTACTGTGCCGCGGTTGATATACGAATGCTGACGCAAGCCTCGTCCCAAATCAGGCAGAGAGCCAGAGGAGGAAAACCAGCAAGCCCGCGCAAACAAGGCGCGAGGCCCGTAAGGAAGTGAAGGGTGACAAACAATCCCAGAAAGCCAATGTAAGAAACAACCCACAGCCACATGAAAAAAAAATCTTTCCACGTTAACGTACAGCTCCTGAGAGTCTAAAAGAGTTATTCTCCCTCTTTTGTGCCATCTGCCGTGTTGGTTTCAGCGGTGGGGTTTGTGGGCGGCGAATGAGGACTGGGGTGATATTTGGGAGCTAGTGTGACCACTGGCTCATGCGGGTGAATCCCACTTGTGAGAATAAACACGTCTGGGTGCCGCCTGAGGTATTCTGTAATGCCGCCTGATCCCCGAGGAAACATTTTGCGCCGCACTTTGCTGCTGATGAATTTCGGTATGTGCGAGGGGAGCAGCTTCCGCGCTCCGCAGACCTCCAACCGCGCCGCCACGATGGAAACTAACAAGCGAAGCTGCTCCTCAGGGTCATTTAGAAGCTGGTCTTTATAGTCATGCGTTGTCCGGGAGGAACTCCTTGCAGTGTCCTTGTCTTCCTCCTGAGCTTGCTGGGAGCAATCCATCGTGTGGTCCTCCTCGCCGTCCGGGGCGGGGGCGTCCATCCGTTGGACGTACACCTGTGGGGGGATCTCCACCAAGCGGAAGAGGTGAGGGTAGCCCTTCAACCACGCACGCGAGCGCGCATCCGTGATGCGCCGTACACTTTCTGGGAGCAACTGCGGCAAGTGGCCGGTGAGAAGCAGCTGGCCATCCAAGGGAAGGATGTCAAAGACGTAGTACGCCAGCACATCCGGGTGACACAGGGGACTCGCACCCAACTCGCGCAGTGCAATGCAGCGCTTTAACAGACGTGTTGTGTCGATAACCCGCACGCGCAGATGATTGGGGAGTTTGCTCAGACTCTTACCCCTTGTGGTCCCAACCTCAGCAAGCGCCTTCTCCAGCTCGGTGAGCGACGCACTGCGGTACAGCGACGGCAAGTAGCGCTCCTCGTCAAGCCAGAAACGCACCCCAATAATGCGAGCGGGGTCGCTGGGGTCACGCTCAAAGTTCAACAAGGAGCGTCCTGCGTCCGCATCTTTCAACCCTTCGGCCTTGCTGCTCTCCTCACCTGCAATGGCCAGAACAACCGCTAAAGGCTGCGTCAGCCACTCGCCCACGATATCCTGCAACTCTGGGAGCCGCATGAACGTGCTTGTGCGCAGCGCACGGCACATGCGGTAGAGATTGTAATCCTCAACTAAGCTCTCAACATTATGCGGCGCCAGCGTGGCACCCCCCCTCGTGGAAGACACACTGGGAACGCAGAAGCGAACGAAAGACGAGCTCCTTGTAAAAGCGGTCACCGAGGAAGCATCGCCGCGCGGAGCTGCTTTCCCATCCATACCTTTTCCCAGTACATCGCGACGAGTCTCGCCGCGCAACACTTCCTTAACCTCATCTAAGCTACTCTCATCGGCAACTTGGACCCAACGAAACGCCTGAAGCACCGCTTTTTCTCCCGCCGCCCCTGTCTTCTCGATGTCGGCGGATGCCGTTTCCTCAGGCCCAATTGCTGCCGCTTCTTTTGTTGCCGCTGCTGCGGATGATGAAGATGGTGAGTTGACGAGGGTGTATTCTTCTGTGAGTACCCATAGCTCCGCGTGTCCCACTGGGCGCACATGTTCACGGAAAAAGTGCTCCAACATGTGAATATGCTCCTCCCCTTTCTCCCCATGAGAGGCGACACATGCAGCGCCCGGCAAAGGGCTCGTCACGTGAGTGCAGCTCATGAGACTCTCCAAAGTCATAAACCGGCCTGGTGACTTTCGAATGCACGCTACCGCCGCTTTGTCACGAGGCGTCTCCTTCTCGCCTCGGTTCGCCCCTTTACTGCCTTCCTTGCCGGAAGTCACCTCGCACTGGACATGGAGAAGCGAGTTCTTTCCACGAAGAAGACGGTAACGTGAGGGAAATTTTTCCAGGTGACTCTTTAGTCCATTTTCTAACTGCTCCAGTACCTCATCCGGGAGCAGTTTGGCCAGCTTCGTTAGCGGCATCGTGCGGTGCGGCAGCACGAAGGAAAACACTGGATCGTCGTCCTCGGCAGCATCGCGGGACGAAGACGTGCCACCGTGCGTGGAAGACCTCGGGGGAAGGGAACTCGTGTAACGGCGCGCAGCGTGCAGCGGAGTCGACCACGCAGGAAGCATCGCGGTGGGCCTGCCGCAGACTGGAAGAAGGCCGCTGAAGCGGGCAGAAAAGGATGAGGCAGGGCGCCTGCGGAAGAGCGGCGACAAGGCACGGAGCGAAAACGCTTCGCGCGGCGACATGCCGGGCCCCTCAACTCTCCTGGGAAGCGCCCAGCAAAACGGCCCCGCCCTCGTCACGCCTTCACCCTCCGAGGGGCAGCGTGAAGCCACCTAAACAGGGCTTGCGAAGGTTGCCAGCATAAAACAAAGGCAAAAAAAAAGCAAATAAAATAGGCGCAAGTCGCGCCGCATACGTCAACACACCCGCGGCAGTCCGACCCCAAAGGAGAAAAACGAACAAAGTGAAAGAAACTGCTGATAAGCAAAAAATAAAATTAAATCAAGGGAACAAAAATGACGTGGGAAGGAGTGGTAGCGAGCTACTCTCCCCAGCCGCCTCCCTGACTGTGGTGCATCGACGCGTTGCCAGACAGGCACATGCCTCTTCAACAACTCAATGGAAGGGAAGTGGAGCACGCGCATGCAAAAGAAAAACAGTGAATAAAGTTATTGACCACCTCAAGTGTTCTGCTTTCATCGCCCGAATAAAACATACTGGACGCCCCCGTTCTGTCCAGAACGGGATTCGCCCATGCCCGCTTCCCCCCCCCCCCCGACTTCAACGTCCACAGATGGTATTTGGGGTTCCGTATTCCTCTCCACTTCACCCCTCGAAAAAAAAGAAACAAAAAACACTCTCCATCGTTTCCCTTGCCAGGGTGTCTTCCACAACCCAAACGCCACGCATTGAATGAGTTTCCGCGGCACACTGCGTGGTTATGGGGCCAGCCGCTTAATAAGCACCGCACCGGGGTCATTCTGAGCAGATTGCCGACACGGATTGAAAAGACGGGAAGAGAGGCTGGGCGTCGACTCCCTCACCGGGTGAGCATGAGCAAACATCAATGTTATTTGCCACCTCACTGTCCTGCGCCAGCGCCGCAAACCAGAGCCCTTCCTTGCGCCTCTCGCCCCCTCCCGCACGCGCACACGCAGCAATGGCCTGCTTACTGCAGGCACGCCATTGTCAAGCTGGACGTCCTTGCCGTGTGAGTGGAACCCAACTGCCTCGTTGGCGGCCTCATAGAGACAGAGCGACCGCCGGCCGTGCCGAGGCGCACCACCCCCACCGGAAGACACGTGTCAGCATCGCACAGCACTGCCTCCATCGCCTGCCAACACTTTATTTCTGCGGGGGCCGCAGGGGGCACCCACTCGCGTCCTCTTCGCACAACGCCTATGTTTATATTGGTGCTGCTGTTTTTCGCCCTGCAGAGGAGAAGAGGGTGCAGACCATCCAGGGACGTGGACCGGGGCATTGCTCAGAAAGGGCAGAATACGCGAAACTTTCTCAGCGGCCGAGAGCAAAAAACAGGCGCCGCAACTGCTGCTAGCGTCCCGGTGCTCGATTGCGCCATCCGCGGTCGGTTCTTCATAGCAGCCGTCCTTTCCTTTGCTGGCAGCCGCGCGCAGTGCATCGCGCGTGTGCAGTTCTGCCAGCTCCCACCCCGCGTCATCCCACACCCACGCGTAAGCAACGCGAGCGCCAAAGCGCATTGAAAAAAATGGCGCTGACGTCAGTGCCCCAATGTGCAAGAGCTCGGCAGGGTTTCCCGGCTTCAGAGCAAAGAGGGAACTTCCCTCACGCTGGTGTTCTCGGCCACCCTTCGCGGCAAACTTCAGTAGCACGCGTCGATGTGCGTTAGACGGCGAGCAACGCAGTCGGGCCATGCGGGAGACCTGAAAAGAGGCGTTGGCGCCGCTCACGTCGGCAAAGGCCGGACACCCAATCAAACGCAGCAGCGTCTCCCTTTCCTCTTCGCCAATGACTCGCACGTTGCGAGTGTACCCAAGCGACTGACAGCGAAGAAACGCCAACGCCATTTTCTCATCCTCACGACGCGTCGTTCGCCATGCGGTAGCAGAGCTGTCAGTAAGAGATGCGAAAAGATGCCTGGCAAACTGAAAGTGTTGCCTGCAATTTCGCCACACAAGAGTACCGGAGCTTCCCCATTGGGAGGAAGACTCCGCAGACACGACAAGAATAGACATAACACAGCGGTGTACGGGGAAAGTGAGGTGGTCAATGGTTTCAACTGTTGTTGGTAGGGATGGGAAGCAGCAAACCGTCGTGGCTCTCAGTAGCGATGACGGGCGAGCTTTCCCCGCTTCTTCCCCTTGTGTAGCTGAAGCACCCTCCTTCGCTCTGCGCCACCTTCCCACAGCGGCATTCACTCGCCTCCGTATCCATTGCAGAATAACTGAAGCATCTGTTTCCGATGGCGTTTCGTCTCCCGTCGGCCTCAGAGCATCCGCACAGCACCAGAGTTCAAACATGGAGCACATCGGTTTTGCCGCACCGCAGGGATTCCAATGAGAAATAAGTTGAATCTTTAGCTTTCGCTTGGCACGTGCCCCAAATTGCACAGGCGCAGAGGCCACAAGAAGGTACGTAACGCCATCGGCATCACCATTTCGTAGAAGTTTGACAGGCACAACTATGGGTGCGGCGTCGGAGTCAGACGGCCCCGTTTTTGTGCTCGGCAAGCACGTCGCTTGGGGGTTGGTACGCCGCAAGGACCACATGTGCCCGTAAAACACGCCATCCTCGCAACGCTGCCAGAATGCCTCCTGCGGCGCATTATTGACCTGTGACGTTGCCGTCGCCGCCAGATGCCTTGTGTGAAGAGCAGCAGGGGGTGCTCCATTTGTGCGCAGCATCAAAAGATCCAACACCTCCTTTGCACCCAAAGAGTGCCAGGGTTTCCGTGGTTGGACCGTCCAAACACACACATGCGAGCGTTCGGCCGCAAAACACAGGGGTGGTGGGACGGCCATTGGCTTGCACTCAGGTCGACGGTAAGGCTTTGCCTGTGCAGAACATGATGGCAGCCGTGCAGCCCAACGCTGTAGCACGCGATGCTGCTTCCGCCGACACTTCATTGGCACCGCGACCCTTACCGTCGGAAGCCTTGGAGGGACGCCATCATCAGCAGAGGATGAGGGGCAGCAATCAACACGTGTTTTGACAACGCCATAATGAAATCGACGGCACAACCGCCAATGGGAGGGAAGCCACAGCACAGCCGTGCGACCTCCACTCGAGGAAAGAGCGGACGGCGAGCCAGGAGGTGGGGCAGCAGCAGCAGCAGAGGAGCCACAGGTGCAAAGGGGAAGTTGCATCTTGCCGTGACGGAGGGCAATATGCCGCCGTCGCATTCGGCGTCGTGCCGTTGCCCGTCGCCTCCACGCAAGCCGACGCCGTCGCCTTAAAAGCAAACACCACGCCTTATACGTCAGCGGACGTTTTTTCTTCTGCACTTGTCCTGCGTCTACAGCAGCTGTCGATGCAGGCAACGGCGCCCCGCCCTCCAACAGTCGCCCAAAACGCCTGGAGCGCCGTGAGTGAAACTTCGCCAACCGCACTACGTCGGACAGCGGCACATTCGCGGAGGATGGGCGGCGGTATTGAACAACAGACCGCGGCTTGGGGGGAAGCGGAGGCTCAAACCCACCATCGCCCTCCTCACGAGGTCGTTTACGAAACAGTAGGGCAGAAAATGCTTCCACCTCCTCCGCACGACCGCTGAGGAACTCTGCGACATCCATCACGCAGGCTACTAACCTCAAGAGGCGTCCGTGCGGACTGCAGTATTTATGTTACTCTGCAGAGTAGCCAAGGGAAGAACAACAAACATTACGCACACACACACACACACACACATATATATATATATAATAGGAAGACATCTTTGTCACGAAGGAGTGGGAGGAAGAGTGACAATGCAGAGAATTTCCACCACCTCCACAAAAAATACCAAAAGCTGTGGTGAGGCAACGCCCGCCCACCGCCAAGGGAAAGAAGAAGGAGAGCAAAAAAAAAAGAATAAACATAAAGTATTAATATCGCATTCTTGTTTATCTCGTTCCGGTAGCGGTAGCACAGGGGAGAGTCACACTGACGGCAGCCCTTGCTGCTCCCACGCCTTTAAAGCCTGCTCCATTGCCGCATGTCGTGGAGCGGCTAGAAACTTGCCTGCAGGTGTTACTATAAACTCCGTTGACAGCCGACTCAGCTTCTCCGCGAAATGCTCCTTCACCGCCTCCAGGCAGTGCCGCCGCAAAGCCGCATCCCAGACCTGACTTCCCTCCCTAGCCATCAGGGTGCACCGTGTGTACATAAGGCACCGCCGCAGCCCTTCCTCGCCAATGGCTTCAAGTTTGTCGGCATCGCTCACGACATCTCGAACAAAAACCCAATCGGGCGGCAATTTCGCTTCGAACCACCGCATGCCATGCTTCTTCTCCTTTGAAAAGGAGACAGCTTCCACGGCGGTGAGGGCGTGATTGAGCGCCTCCGCGCCGTTCTTCCCCTCATCTACTATGACCCCCTTCTCCGCCTCCAGGAACTCCCGCACCTGCCGGAGAAGCGCGTTTGCCGCATCGTACTTGTGATCCGCAACGTCGTGAAGCATGGCGACAAGTATGACTCGCGAGAGCGCTAATGCGGAGCGCGCCGCCGGCCCACGTTCCATGTGAAGGATGAGAAGAGCGTTTTCCGTGACCCTCTCCATGTGCGCCAGGCCGTGCGTGGCATCGCGGCCAGCGCACACGTCACCCACAAACCTTTGACACCGCGCCCACAACTGGAAGTGGCCCGTCTCCATTCCTTGCGCCCCTTTCCCCCCGATAAAGAAACCAAAGCGGCGTTGAAGCAAAAAGAGGACAGCAGTATATATATATATATATACTTGAAGACATTTTGTGATCGCAATCCAGTAGAAAATGCACCTCACAGCTGCTAAGTTTCCTTTTGCCTACCCCCCAAAAAAAAA